AGGGGTGGTGGGAGTTGTAGTAGTCCAGGTACCTTTGGAGGGCACAGGATAGCTACCCTTTTCAGAATGAGAGACAGAAGTGAGCTACAGTAGACAGAAAGTCAGACCTGGACCAGGGGGAACTGGGTTCAAATCTCCACTCAGCCACAAGGCTCAATGGCTGAACTTGGTCAGTCTTAATCTTCTTTTGGCCACAACTGAATACTTTTTGAACTCTGAAGGTGTGTTGGGCTTGGGATGGAACATACCTTCAGAAACAGGCTCCATCTCTTATGTTCTACTCCTGATTTCTTCAGTGGACTAAGGAGAGCTTCTTAGTTGTGCCCCCAAGCATCTTCAAGACATCAGCTCACATGCAGAGAGTCAACTCCACAACAACATTGCCCTTGGAGTGCTGCTCTAAGCACTTTCTTTTTGGACTAGGGCAGCTTTGTGTTACACATATAAGCTACTTTGGATGTTTTAATAGAAAAGTGGTATGTATGTAAATACGGACAAGAATCTTTTGGAAGTATTCATAAGGCTTTTCATTTGGGCTGGTTTTGGATGTTTTGTGTGGGTGTTTATATTAGTTGTATCTGTTTTATATATTCTCCATTCGTATACATTTTAATGTAATGTTCCTGGCACAGAGTCTTCGGAACTGGAGAGGCTTAAAAAAAGAAAAAAGATAAATCTCAGTTGCATGTACAAAGCGAGGTTGATTGCTAATGCAGATATTCTAGTAACTTCAGGTAGTGGCCTATTGACAAAGCTTTTAGCATTCAAATAGAAATAATTGACCAGCAGGGGGTTACAGACTCTTGTAATGACCTATATTTGATATGCAGGAGAAAGAGCTTGCGGAATCAATGGAAGCTCCCCTTTCAGGGCCTTGGATTTCAGGCTAACTCAAAGACTCCTACATGTTACAATAGAAGCATGTGTTTAAAATGTAGCATATATCTGCTTGCTTCTGTCCTGTGCTCTGTGGCACAGCTTCCTTTCACTGTGTCTGCACGGTGGGAAACATGCAGCAGGGAGACAGGTCAATAGCGGCTCCCTGCTGTATGTTTGTGTGGTATACATGCAGTGAAAAAGAGCAGGTATGCCTGCCTCCTCTTGCAAGGATGGTGTACTGAGGGAGGGAGGGACAGGCCCCTAGGAAGGATGAGGAGGGAGCTGTTGGCAACAAGGAACTCCTAGAGACGGGCCTGTGAGTGAAATAGTGATTTTAGTCAACCTGAGCGTCAGGCCCATCCATGGACTGTACTTTTTAGCACAGTAATTGGAGGGACCATTGCAGGACTTCCAGCAGGAATTGGCAGCTGCAGAGACGCATTCCAGTACTTCCCTCCTTTTTTGCTGTGCAGCTGTCAGGCCGCCTGTGAGGGCTCCTCACAATTGCACCTGCATTCCTGGACACCTTCACCTTCACCACAGGCCCAGGCCCCGTTCCCTGTAGGGGGCCAACCTCCCCAGTCTCTGCCTCTGTCTGTCAGCCTTCCTTAGCTCAGGGGTGTCTCTCTTAATCAAATACATTTGTTTTGTAAAACTGACTAAAAATAATCCGGGGCTGGTGTGTGCTGGATGTTGGCGGTGAATCAAAGGCGCCGCTCTAATTAAACGGGCCCCAGTTTGTTTGTGAGCCGCATACATTTCCATGCTAATCAGCCACACGCCAGGATCCTGCCTCCTAAGCCCCACTTCCTTTGCCTGATTGAAAAGTATGCAAATGGATGGATGGAGTCTATTTATTGCAACGAGGGAAATGAAGCTGCAATGCGCGCTGTGGGGCTTTATTTGGGGACTAGGGTGGGGAAGCGCTTTGGTTGGGGGCGGGTTGTGAAGATGAAGGATGTCCCAGTTATTAAACATTGCCAGTGGAACTAGAGGGAACAAAATGAATTACTCATTTCCCACTAAGTAATAGCATAGCCAGGCACAATTTTGTTTTTTGTTTTTATGTGGCTTTGAATCTGTCACTTAGACTTTTCTCCACAATTTACCTACTACTACTGAAATCCAGTGGGAATGAATGGAAGGCTCTCTGACCGAGGCCCTCTGTGCTTTTGCTTCCAAATCAGTAGGCTATTCCCCTATATGGGGACACCATGGGAAATCTCCAAGAATGGGAACTACATGGAGGGTAAAGTCAGGAGGTGGGGCTTGGTCAGGGCCTAAAACTATTGTTGTCTGTTGGACATTTGATGGGTGCTGTCTGGAAAGTGTTGCTTTCTATGTCTAGGGAAATAGAACTGCTATTTTCCTGGTTCCACTTCAGCTTTACAGACAGGTTTGTTTTCTGTAATGTAATGTGCTGGGTCCATCTTTTGGAGTGAGACTGAGGGTGATGGGTGCAGAATGAAGAATTCCCACTCTTACTGCCAAATGTTGCACTTGCCTGACAGAAAGACTGGAGAAGCGGCTTCAGTACCAGGCGCAAGAGACAATGGTGGGATTTGGTGCAAATTCTATGTGCCCACATTTGGTTATCCAGAAAGCTGATAGGGTGAAATAGTTTCTGCTTTCCTATACACCTCTCTGTGTGTAGGAAAGTACTTACGACATGCATCACCCAGAAACATATAAAAGATGAACTGAATTTCTAGAGTCTGTTGGTAACTCATGTTAGCCACTGCTAGCATGGTAATAATAAATTAATAATAAATTTTTATTTATACCCCGCCCTTCCCGGTTCAGGAAACCAGGCTCAGGGCGGCTAACAACATATTTAAGACACTTAATTGATGCTACAAAAAAAAAAGAAGAAGTATAAAGCGTAAATAACAACAAAATCAAGAATAAAAAATAAATTTGGGGGGGAAATCCATCAACAAACATTAGATCACCAGGTAGATCAATAACTCCTAATTTGTTACCCTCCAGACATTTTGGACTATCAGACCCAGCCAGCACGAGCAGTGGCCAGGTGAGGGGTTGTGGGAATTATAGTCCAAAACATTCTAGAGGTTAGTGGAAAAGTTGTGGTATACCATCACTTTAACTATACTTGTATGTCGTAGAATCAGGTCCAAAAGGCCTCCGAGTCTAGTTTCTTGCTGTGAGCAGGACTAGGTTACTGACCATTCCCCTCACAGTTCAACTTGCACAAGTTTGGCCATAAGTGTGTCACAAGCAGATACTTTCTGGGCAAGTAAATGACTCATGCTCAACAGCCAGGTGGCAGTTTAGAGAATTAACCCTATTGTATTTCCTCCCTGCCGTGGGTTGGCTATGACCCTAGGGTGCCTTTTTAATGTGGTTATGGCTTCTATAGTGAAAGCAAGGTCTTTAGGATAAGCTTTATTGTCACTGTGAGTGGTAATGGGATTAGAGCATTTACTATATCCCTTGCCTAGAACAAAGGTGCTGGTTTACCTTCTCTTCTGTTATGAAATACAGGCTATGGGGAGGCGGAACATGGGTCCTTGATCATAAAACAAAGGTGATTATATGTGGTAACTCTCCACTAATGGTCCATTAAATGCACTATGCCATTGATACTTAGGGAAAGTGTGCTAGGCTGTAAGCTTTTTGATGCTCCACCTTTTTTCCACACTAGAGAACATTTTAAGAACGGCACAATTGCTAGGTTGCTGGGAAAGTTCAGCAGGGGAGAAATGCTGATCAAAACAAAGCTTAAATAATCCAGGTGTGTGACAAATGGGGTTGTAATAGCTGTCCTGCAAGTGCGTGGAGAGAGTTAATGTTAAGATGAGCAAAACATTGCATACAATGACCACATGACAAAGAAGCTAGGTTGTGATGATTGTGTTCATACAGATATTCGGCAATATTTCTGTAGTTGCACATTAGGTGGGATGAAGTTCCCAGTAGATTAAACTCTTCCTCCACCTAGTGCTCTCCCAGTCTAGATATGTAATGGAAGGCTCACTCCAGTTAAAACAGAGTTTTGTGTTTCATCTCCTCTGCAATGCCTGTGTGGCTGCCACTATTTCTCTGCACACCCCTTACCAGCCATTTGCACTTTCTTTGGAGCTATTAACACATTATCCAGAAGTCCCCTGCTTCATTTAAAGTTCATTAGATTTAATTGAAGAGCATTAATGTGCACTGAAGTGCATAATGTAGTTTTATTTTCAATGGAAACCAGGTGGAGCTATTTCTTATCCTAACTCTTTCTCAAGGAGTAGTTTGATAAATGAATGGAGGCAAAATAAAAATAAAAATAAGGCAACTTGGATAAGGGTTCTAAAGCAGCAAGGGGATTGGGAGGGGCTCTTGTTGGCTGGCAAGATTAGGTTGATGGTTCATTATTTCCCCTTAAATAAAATATTTAGGAAAATGCATGAAAGATGGATTTCTGTTTTGGAGGATCATCCTGACCCCGGGGGCCAGATGCGGCCCAATTGCCTTCTCAATCTGGCCCACGGACGTTCTGGGAATCAGCGTGTTTTTACATGAGTAGAATGTGTCCTTTCATTTAAAATGCACCTCTGGGTTATTTGTGGGGCCTGCCTGGTGTTTTTACATGAGTAGAATATGTGCTTTTATTTAAAATGCATCTCTGGGTTATTTCTGGGGTATAGGAATTCGTTCATCCCCCCCCCCCTTTCAAAATATAGTCCAGCCCACCACATTGTCTGAGGGACAGTGGACCGGCCCACGGCTGAAAAAAGTTGCTGACCCCTGATCCTGACTCTGCATTTCCTTCTCTGCTTCTACCTGTGGCAGCCAAAACATGCTGTTGGGATGGGGTTCTTGGAATTCCCATTGGGCTGATTTATCATCAGCCCATGACTTTGGCCTAGTTGGAAGTCATGAAGTTTTAAGGAACATGGTGGTGGTTGACAAGGGTAAGGGCTGACTATCATATACTGTATACCTAAAGCTCCTCATAGGTTTTTCTTTCTTTCTGTAGAAAGAACTGTTCCCCCACTGGCTAGCTATTGGTGTGTATTGGCACATTATTCCTTTGCCACCCAACAAATGTCTCCCATCTTGATGATACTAGGCATCATAACAGCAAATGCTAACGCTGCCGTCTGTTCTTTCAGATCCTTGTGGACCCTGCCAATCCCATTGGACGTTCAGCATTGCAGTATGAGAATGTCATAGCCCATGATGGCAGCTCCATCCTGCGGGACTTAGTGCTCAGCCCTGATCTCCAGTACCTCTATGCTATGACTGAGAAACAGGTAAGAACTTGAGTTTGTCCACCGCTGGCCCTTTTACGTGATTTTAAGCTTAGCAGTAATGAGGCACAGCCTTTTCTCTCTGGATAGTACATCTGTGTGATATTTCTCCAGCACAGTGTGAGGCAGGACTGTCAGATTCTCAGAGCAACCAAATAAAAATACTTTCTTCGAATACATCACTCCCTTTATTAGTACAGTTCTGATTAGATGTCGAGCTCATGGAGTGATCATGGAGCTCATTGCAATAAAAGTGCTTGTGTGAGTGATGGGCTACACCTTTACTTGATTCAACACCAGAGCGACAGCTCTCCTGAGGGCTCCTTTTTAATGAACAAGCAGATTCCATCATCTGATGGGTGACAGCTTAGGCAGAACTCTGTGTGCGTTGAGTTTCAACACGCCCTGCAAATGGACAGAATCAGCCAAATGTGCAAGTGTGTTAAAGCTCAGTGTGCGCTGCCAGCCATCACATGATTGCATATGGTACAGGTGGTCACCACAAGCAAGGGCCGTGGCTGGCAGGGACGCGGACTTATAAAAAATATTGGGGGGGGCCCGGGAAAGCTCATGAATAATAAATAAGCTCATGAATATGCAAATAAAGTGGCGCCGCCTCCTCGTGAGCGAATAGGGGAGAGCGTGCTGCGCCTATTAATCAGCTCCAAAGGAAATTGGGTGGAGCTTTTGCTCGGGAGGGAGGGCAGGAGGCATGCAGCCCGCCCCTCCCTGTGCATTTTGGGCTGGGGGAGGGGCGGCGATGGCGCTCTGCTGGAGGGGCGCCGGAGATTATTGGGGGGGCGGAGCCCCCCAAACGAATTTTTGAGGGGGCTCGGGCCCCCTCAAGCCCCATGGAGTCGGCGCCTATGGTGGCTGGTCATGAAAAGGGGCTCTTGGTCCACTCATTTTAACTCCGCAAGAAACTTCTCTGCTGTTTCTGTGGCAGCACAGTGCAAGTGCTGTACTTTGCCATTCCCCCCACCAACAACTAAAGACCCAAACTCAGCTTTCCTCATTAAACCTTGCCAAAATTGGTATGGTGTGCATTAGTCACGAAAACATTTGTATTATCAGTTTAAGCTGCTTAATCCTTCTTGGGCTGCTGCGCATAGTATTAGTTACTCTTTTCCAGAATAACTAATAATATATACTGAGTGTCCAATGCCAAAATTATTATTTTTCTGTGTTTTCTTAGTCAACATAATTATCTCATGAATGTAATGTTCAAACTTGGCCAGACCAGTCACATATAAAGTGAGATCTCATCCTTAAGTAATACATGGGTGAGGGAAACTAAAGCCTCTCCATGCCTACCACTCCATGCTTGTGTAAAGTTTCCCACAAGCACCTTTTACCCAGTTGATCTCACTCATTGAAATCAGAGGAATGAGAAAGCACCCAGTGGTGGAGGCCATAGGTAGATGGACCTTAGGTAGGTAAGCCACAAACAGTGGAAGTGCCTGGAAGCTCTGACCCATCCACCTTGTTTTCATGAAGCAGTGGGCCCTTGCTTTATACACAACTGAGGGAGACCTGGGTGTAAATGAATAGGTCTGCTGCTACCATGTCTGGTTTGGCTCTAAGAGTCCCCCCTCCCCCCCATTTTGCTCTCAGGTTTCTTTTCATAGAATGAATAATATCTATTTGAGTCTGTCCTGAGGGGAAACAAACTTACTATTAGGAAGCAGATGAATCATGGGTACATGCAACATCTCTTCTAAAGCAGACTCATTAGGTCTGTTTTGCAAAAGCTCTGTCATTTGACAGATTGTCTCTGCTACAGGTATTGGAGAAGTTTCCTTTGCACTCCTCCAGCAAGATAAACTGGTGTTTATATGAGTTAGGAGCACTGTGGCTGAGTAGCCCAACCTTAATTCTGTTGGGCCACAGTTTCTTTACCTTTTTACACTGGGATTGCTTTATTCTCCTCCTGCAGTCTGTCCTGTAGCTAGGTCTGAGGATCCTAACTGCCCACTAAACCAGGAGAGGGAGGACTTCAGCCATGCATAATTTACTTTGTGTTTTACTAGAACTCTGCCAGCTGGAGCCAGGTGCAAAAGACATACGCTTATAATTAAAGAGCTAGGTTCCTCTTAGCAGCTGCTGAGGACGGGGATTGTTTTGAGTATCAGAGCTGTTCTGAGCTCACAGCCCTTCTACACAAAAATTCAATCCCCAGTTGCCCAAAGCATACTTCAGTGCAGCAGTCTAATTTCAGGGAGTCATTTTGTTGTCTCTGTTGTTAAAGAATTGGGACTGAGAACTGCTTGCCGATCTACTGTGAATCACCAAAGGTTTCCCAGTAGATCCTGATTTACTTTCTGCCCATGCTTGCTCTAAATGAGTGGTTTGGATCATTTGGGGTTTTCCTTTAATTAGGGGCCATTGCACCACAGGGGGGAAATGTTGGGGATCAAAAAAGGTACCCCTCCTCTGGATAGGTTCACACTGGGCATTCAGTGTGAATCAGACCATGGGTTGGATTACATTAAAAAATGAACAAGATCCAGGCTGCAGACTCCTCATCCCTGCCCTAGACTGATTGTGTACAACTGGAATAAGTGGATCTTACAAACTAGCATCTAGAGCTGCTATCATAGGAGATCCACCTCTCCCTATTTAGGCACTGTTCTAGGTTTCCTGAAGCATTGTTATTTATTTTTAAGCCTGTTATCCCACATTTTGTCCACATAGAACTTTAGAGTGCTGAGCAGCATAAAAATAGAAAAAATAATCAAAGCAACATCAATACAGCATAATGAAAACATAAAATAATTCAGAGTCAGAAAACTGGAAGGTCTTTGCCCTTCTCATCAGCAGATCAGGATCAGCATAGGTTCAGCCAACTCCAAAAGCCTCCACGAATAGCCAGATGTTCACCATGCACATAAAGATGGGTTCACACAGGTGTTTGGCCAATGGCAGTGCTCTTCCTCCTCCCCCCTCTTCCCACTGCCATGCCTGTTGGACAGGGGTAGCTAATATGGTGTCCTCCATATGTTTTTGGACTCCAGCTGCCATCAGCATGGTCAGAATGAATGCGAGTTGTAGTTCAGCTTGTTGGCTACCCATGATTTAGGGTCCTAAAGATAAAAACTAGCACCTTGGGTTGAGCCTGGAAGTATACAGTATCACTGAAGATCAAACAGGACCAGATAGGTATGCTCTATCAGGGTGGCTCTGTGGTCTAAGCCACTGAACCTCTTGGGTTTGCTGATTGGAAGGTTGACAGTTCGAATCCACGTGACACGTTGAGCTTCCCTTGCTCTGTCCCAGCTTCTGCCAGCCTAGCAATTCGAAAGCATACCAGCCTGAGTAGATAAATAGGTACTGCTGCGACGGGAAGGTAAACAGTGTTTCCGTGTGCTCTGGCTTCCATCACTGTGTTCTGTTGTGCCAGAAGCATTTTACTCATGCTGGCCACATTACCCAGAAAGTTGTCTGTGGACAAACGCCGGCTTCCTTGGCCTGAAAGCGAGATGAGCTCTGCACCCCATAGTTGCCTTTGACTGGACTTAACAATCCAGGGGTCCTTTACCTTTTTACCAGGCCAGTTCTAGACAGTAATCTGACAACAACATTTTGAGTCAGCTGAAGCTTCTGCATCTTTTTCTGCGGCAGCCCACTTGTTCTACATTGCAGTAGTCCTGTCTAGTTGTTACTAAAATGTGAATGACTTGCTAGAACAGTTTTCTTTAGGGAAGTTAGGTCAAAGGCGCTCCTAGTCATACAGCCACCTAATTAAGCTCACCAGTTCTAATGCTGGCATTTTACGTGCAAGAGGAAATTGAAACAAAAGCACTAGGTCCAGCCATTTTAAAATAAAAGGCAGAAAAGACAGTCTATGACTCGGCAGCACAGCATGTCATTCCTTGAGTTGCTGTTTTTTTAGGATGCAGGCTAAAGGCATTCACATAAACACACAACCTGCCTTTTATGTAAAATGTTAATTTGAGGTGTCTCGCCTAATTTGGTCAATGCAGTTGTTGGCCAATCACAAGTACCTTTTTTGCGGGCACTTCCATGGGCACTGCCCCGATGCAGCAACGATCGAGGCATATATAAAGGTAAGGGATGCACACAGCATCTGGCAGAAACACTGCAGTGATAAGTCAGAATTAAGGAGTGAATGGACTACTTATCCCAAATGAGCCAAGGAAGCTGCCCCAAAGGCCTTATCTGAGAGGCACCTGGAGGCTCTTTTACAGCAAATGGCAACATATTATAACAAACATGGTTGCCCTTTAAACTAGAGAAATAGTAGAAGGAGCTACAATAGAAAATCTGCTCTACATACCTTCACATACCTCCTTCCTTTTGAGCTCTGAGACTGTCAAATCAGATTTTTTAAAATATAACATAGAATTCTTTCCCCTTTCATCAATGATTAGCAGCATTTACTGAAATCCCTGCTCCCCTTGGAATGCATGCCTGTCTAAACCTTTCAGGCTTGCCTGCATGGCTGCTAAATAGCTCTGTAAAAACAGCTTTGTTGTTTGGTAAGGAACTGTGGAGTGGCACACCTGCTACTGATGGAAGCTGTTCTAATGGTCAAGCAGGGCTGGAAAAAACCCAGACACTTTGATTGCCCAGAATCCTAACTTCTGATGCCACCACTAGCAATTTTCTATATTCAGCTCTATGCGAGACTGATTCCCAGAAATTTAATACTCCCCCCCCCCGCCCCAAACTGGTCAGGTACCCCCCTAGCCCTGAAAGAGATCTCTGGATGATTTTGTTTTGTTTTGTTTTGTTTTTTTTGATTGCCCCAGTTGCTTTTAGTGAAAACCGCAAGCTATCCTAATGTGGTTGCAAGGCAAGTTGTCTCCATTGCATGCAGCAATTGAAGAAAGGCGTACCAGATCTGGAGAGTGTAGCTTGAGGCTGCTTCATTAGCAAAGTGAGGTGCTTAGCAGCCTCACCCACCATTCGGGAGTGATCTTTGGGGTGACTAGTGGTGATCTTTCCCTCCCTTTCCCTTTCTACCCTGATCTCTTTTGGTAAGCATGAGAGTGAATAGTGGACTGCTTGACTTTTGTCTTCTGTTAGTGCTTAAACACTACAGGTTTAAGTTTAGGTAAGATAGGGTTTGGAGAGTTCCTAGACAGCATATATTTAGAGATTCTTCTGCTTGTTTACAGTGTTAAATATATGTTGTTGTAGGAGTGATCTGGGAGGAAAAAAGTGCCTGTCCTTTCAAGATCATAGGAAGATACAGACCTTTTTTATATATAGATCAGGCTATTCATCCAACTAGAGTAGTATGTCTCCTCTTGACTGGCATTGACAAGGTCTTTTCAACTGCCCTTTGAATCTGGGACCCTCTCGATGTTTTGCTAGAAGTACAGTACACTGTAGTGGCAACATCCAATTGGGAGCAGCTGCTGAACAGCTATGGCCTGAGAGCTAGTGGGCATGTTACACTTACTGTACAGAGACCACTTGAAATGGTCTCTTGGTACTGCTGGGAAGTTGTGGAGCATCTTCACATCAGCCACAGTCAGGAATGTGTTTTACATGTTACAACAGCAGGGCTAAGCAATCACATGGAGTCCACTTCCTAGTAAAAATGCAATGTCTAGACCAGCTGTCTCTAAATCCAGACTACGTGAAGAAAAGGGAAAAGGAGCATGAGTATTAGAAAGAACCCAATATGCCAATCCAGTGCAATGAGCATTGCTGTCCAGGACTCTTCTGCTTCCCTGATGTGAGCCCTGTATGTACCATGATGCATCATGACATGCATGTTCCAGAAGACAGGGCAAAATGATATGAAACCAGAGTGTGGTTTTTTCCTGTGTTTGCAAGTACTTCCTGTAAGGAAGGAGATCAGTGTGGGGACTTAAGTAGGGAGAATATTTTTATTGGAAGGGCAGCACAAAGGTGGGAAGAAATTAAAAGACGGGGCAAGCTTCCCATTCCCTCAGTAAGTGGTGGGCTTCAAGGGTTCTTTTCAACATGGACATCTCTGTTAAAGTCTTTTGACAATGGGGTTATTTAACCCTCAATCTGGTGGCGATTAATTTTGCAGCCAGAGTCCAGACCACACTGGATATAATGAGGGGAGATTTTGGAAGGTTGCTTAAATGGCTGTGAGGACATTTTTTCTGCCGTTTGCAGGTCCCCTTTCTCTCCCTTTGGCTTAATAAAAACCACTCTCATCCACAGCTTACTGTTATCAGGTTGTTGGTGGAAAGTAATTAAATGAGCAGTTGTAACAGAGCTCAAAGGGCCTGCAGAATGAGGGGATTTTAATCAAATCTGGAGGAGCAATTAATAAAGAGCTTGTAACCCTTTAAGGCAGACTCCTGCTGTCAGATTAAGAAGAAAATGGGTTATGACCAGTGTCTGGAACAAGGACAGGGCAATGCAGATGCTCCCAATATTTTTTTTCTTAAACTAGACTTCAACCAGCTGTGTGATGATTATCTTCAAGAGGGTGGTAGGTAGCTAGGAATGGAGATGCCTGAATGAGAGAGTGCTATGCGTTTTCACTGTTTGAAACTAGGTTTTGAATGCTGTACCTAAATCGAATGAGCTATCCAGCAGTGGCATATAGCCCACCAAGTCAAATACTGCTCAACAGCCCTGCATAACAACCCACCTGGCACTTCATTCTTGCCTGTCTAGACCCTGGAGGGAGGAATCAACTGATTGTAGATGATCAGGTTGTTCCTCACCAGTTCCCTTTCTGATGGGTGCTTTGTGCAGTGCCATTCTTTTATCCTAGGTTTTGCCATCCTAGGTGCTCTCCAGATGTTTTAAACTATAGCTCTCATCAGCTCCAGCCAGCTTGGTCAAGGTTTTAGGGCCCTCCAACAACTTCTGGAGGGCAGAGCACCCAGTTGGGGAAGCCCAGCTTATTCCATCACAGATGCTGTATAAAAGGAATCTCAGTCTACTGTTCCTGGAGACCACTGTGCTGATCATAGTAGGATAATAACAAACAGAAGATTAAAGTAACTTGAGTTAATCTGTCTCGGAAGCCAGTATAGTCTGTGCTGTAACTCCTTGAAGCTAGAGGGCAGCACAGAGGTTTAAGTGATGCCTTATGTACACTAAGATCCCATGTAAAAGAAAACTGTGAACCACAATGCCAGCTTGTGGCCCTGCACTTGCTGTGTTTGTGTATGCTTGTCGATAAGTTCTTTTCCAGCTGAGAAGAGGAACAATTTCTGTAGCTTTGTAAAATACAGTCTGGGTGACTGTTCTGTTTTTGGTGTTTTGGGGGGGCGGGTTGTTCTTGGATCATGATTCATCTTGTTCTGATCCATTCCTCTGCTTGGGTAATTAACCCCACATAGACGCTGATCCATGCATATTCTCCCATGAATCACACTTAGAAGGTACCCCGTTGATATTTAGTATTAAAATTCAGCAAGTGCCCTATTGCCCAGAAGCCAGCTTTCATTCCATATTTTTGCTGGCTATCAAGACTATTGAGATCAGTAGCAGGCAAGAGTGCTGTGATAGAGAGGGGTGTTGGTCTTCAGTGTAGTTCTATCTCTCTCTTGTACACACAAATCTACATGCACAGAAGGCAGGTCTCAGCCTCCACTGGGTAGCTAGAGGTTTTCATAGCCACAGGGTCAACTTCAAGAGGGGAAATTAGGGGAAGGGAAGATTGCACTCGAGTTCAAAAGCCATCTGTAGACAGAACTTAAAAGCATCTTTGTTAGTAAGTGGAGGGAAGGGGCTTTACCTCCTGAACATCCCACATTGAAATGCAGGTGCTTGGTGGTAGAATCAAGAATAGTTCCATTCTTCCACAACCAGACTGCTGCATTTGTATGCTTGTGAAGGACGAAGGTGAACAAGTTGGGGAAGGAGAGACATAGCTTGGAGATGGTCAGTTTCCCATATATGCCATTTGAAGGTGGGGAACATTTATGCTACCCGGCTCCCATTGTGTTGGTTTTGGACAAAATGGCTGTATAATGGCTAAGGAATGACACACATCTTGAATATTACCATCCTGAGAGAGAGGCCTCAGACAGATTGTTGTAGTCCTGTCCCATGGAACCTTGAAGCCCTCTTCTCATGACACGCCCAGGGTGAGTGGGTGCACATAAAAGGGAACAGGATCATAACGCTGGGCCCCACCTCCCATCTGTGTTTCATAGATACACAGCCTGGAGTATTTCTGTGCGTAGAACAGATTTGCAGCACCTCCTTTTAGCCCTGTTCCCAGGCTCCCGCTGTTTCCTTCCTCCCCCTTCGAAGCTGCCATGGCAGATTTTGCTTCTCAGCAGATGTTCAAAGAGGCTGCTCTGTGGTGGGGTCTGGACTAATAGCCCCCGTGCTTAATTTCCTAGGCACAGGGATGCCTCTGGGGAATGGAGAGGGACTTGAAAGCTTAAGAGCAGGCCTCTGCATCCCCCCCTTTCCCCCTGCTCTGATCACCAGCCTCAAAGAAATAGCAGGACGCCTCAGTTAACACTGGGCTTAGAAAGAGCCTTGGGCTTTGACCTATATTTTGTTGACCCTTTCATGGCTCCTGATGGTGTTTGGGTTTTTAATGTGGTGATAGCAAGGCATGGGATCTGGGGAAATTATTTTAATCCATGATCAAAGCGTGGCTCCTGCTCTTCTGTTTCTTCCTCCCCTTCCTCCACCACATGCACAGAAACAGCAGGGTCCTTGTGAGGTTTCCCAAATCTTTTGTTGCCCTTCCCACCTTCCATCGTACCTGTAATTTAGCTCTTTGTAACGTTTGGAGCTTCCTTTTTTGCCCATTTGTGGTCCTACACCTTTGGTACTTTCAGTATGAGCTCAAGACAGCAGCCTCTGAATATGCAGTTCTACAGATATCTAACTATTCTGGATTTCTGCCAATTTTGTACCATTGTATGTTTTGTGTGAATTAAAAAGTTGTGGGTATGCCATACTCTCCAACAGCAGAGGCAGCCAACATAGTGCCCTCCAGATATTGTTGGACTACAATTCCTATCATCCTGAAGGTTTTCAGCCAAGCTGACGGGATGTGTGTGATGGGAATCATAGAGAAGGGACAAAGGTTCATGCAGATGATAAAGGCTTGAGTAGCCTGGAATTTCCTGATAGGAAAAATAATTTAACTGCCTGTCCTTGTCCCTCAGGTGACCCGTGTGCCAGTGGAGAGTTGTGAGCAATATACAACCTGTGCGCTATGTCTGGGCTCTAGGGACCCTCACTGTGGCTGGTGTGTCCTGCACAACATGTAAGTACCCAATGCCTTCTTCATATCCCTACAAGACTGACAATTGCAGGAAGCCTTCTTTCTTACTCCTTGAATGCTTTTGAAGCTGCATTAGCAGGAGCTGGTAGCTAAGCTACAACTGCTGTTTTAACATCCTTTAATATGAATTATGTGCATTTGACAGAACACAAAAGTGACATAGTTCCTGCCCAGGACACTTACAGTCTGCATGAAATGGACAGGCTAGGAATTGGGAGAGATTAGTGAGTATTGGGGATGAGGGAGAGGGAGGGGATAATTCAGGCATTGCAAACAACATGGCAGATGGCACAGGGTAGGGAGTAGGCAAAGGTGGCAATATGAACTGGCAAGAGGTGAGCTTGTACGGAGTATATTTTTCATGGTGGCTATCCATGTTCCAAAGCAGTATATGCCACTGAATACCAGCTGTTGGAGAGCAGCAGCAGGAGAGGGCAGTTTTCTTGAAGCTCTGTGTGCGGGTTTCCTGTAGGCTCCTGATTAATCGCTGTAGGAAGAACAACACAGGACTAAATTGGCTTTTGGTCTGGCCTGTTCCACTAGAGGTAATAAGAACGTGAGAAGAGCCTGCTGGATTAGGCCAATGGCCTATCTAGTCCAGCAACCTGTTCTCACAGTGACCAACTAGATGGCTGTGGGAAACCTGCAAGCAGGATTTGAGCACCAGAGCACTCTCCCCTCCTGGAGCTTCCAGCGAGTGGTATTCAGAAGTATTGCTGTCTCCAGCTGTGAAGGCAGAGCATAGCCATCATGGCTAGTAGCCATGGATAGCTCTCTCCTCCATGAATTTGTCTAATCCTATTTTAAGACATCTAAGCTGGTGGCCAGGACTGCCATGATCTTCTTGCGGAATTCCAAAAGGCAGATTTTGCCTTAATCAGGAACTCACCAAGATGTGTTTTTTTGGGGGGGAAGCCACTGTCTCTTACCCTTGGTTGACCTGACACACCCACACCCTGTCTGCAGTATGTGGATAATTATACTCATCTACCTCACAGGATTGTTCTCAGGATTACTGTGATAATGTATGTGAAGTGCTTTTAGCGCTCATAAGAAGTGCTATAATTATGATTCCGTGATAAGGCATGACATATTTCCTACAAGGAGATTATCTCTTTATAGGAAAATCCATGTATATCATTGTGTGAGGTATGGTGTGATCATTGTATTTTTTAAAATACTTTTATGAATGCCACGGGTTGAAGAAGCTGCTATTTCTACTGACCTCCCAACCTGTATAATAAACATTCATGACATGCTTTAAATATGCAAGGGGGAAGTGTGTCTGATGTGGCTCATGGTTTGGTTTAAGCCTGAGGACTAGAAACCTTGTGAAGAGATTAGTAATAACTTTTGCAAGATATAATGAAAATAGATAAATTTTGGATCTGAAGCTCTTCTGTGACTTTCCATTTCTGGGCTCAACATATAATTCTGCAAAACCCATTATTCCCGGCCTACAGTTTTCTTTCATTCACTTATCTTCTGAAGCCTGCTCCCACTCCTCTCTCCTGCAGCTCTGAGTATCTTTGCTACAGGTGCACTATTGGCGAATTAGCTGCTTTGCTTGGGTGACTAGTCTTGCGGAGGTCTCAACCTGGAATCTCATGACTTCAAGGGAGGGGAGCAGCAAAAAGTCCAGCTCAGCAGATTTCGCACTGACTGTACCAGTGTCTAATAGCAGTGTCCATTGCAGCTTCCGGTAGAGTCCCTTTCTTACCCTGCTGAGCTGCCACGAACCTTAATGTGGAACTGGACACTGCAGGAGACCAAGAAGTGGATTGGCTAGTCTTTGGCAGTCTGCATCAGGCAGGGGCAAGTGGGCCTTATCTGTCCAGCGTTGCCTCTACAGTCCATCTTACATGCTGCAGAGCTGATTGACAGCAGCCTGCTCCAAGCTACCAGTTGTCTAGTGTGTGTGTGTGCGCACGTGTGTGTGTGTGCACGTGTACGCATTCTGGATATCTGGCATGTAGGGTGGTTTGAGATCTAAAAACACAGCTTCCTGTCCTGAAAAGCAGCAGGAATCTTTCCCGCTCAAAGCACAGATGGACAAAAGCCATGCGTCCAAAAGAGAACTGCTCATGTATATCATTGTCCAGCCTTTTTGTGAGAGACAGCATCATCTTAAGAGCATTGTGTGTGTTTTAGTAAAAAACCCTGCTCTGAGCCCATTGAATGGCATGAAACAGAAGGCGACCATTCAAGTCCATCAGCCCTTGGATTTGAAAACATCTTATTCTTGTCTTGCCTGTAGTTCAGAGGGAAACTTATTCAAATCTCCTTTAAACACATACCTACTTCTTGGCATGAAATGCCAAGGTTTCTGGCACTGGAATGTTTCTAGCTATGATGGCTGACAGCACCTAGCTGCAGATGCCACACTGCTCCCTGTTTGTCAGATGAGGAGAGAAGTCAAGGACTCTAGAGATTATTCCCTTTGACAACTGCCCTGATCTGCGGAGATCTGGAGAGGCTGTCTTTCTTCAGAACTGCAACCCAGGACCATCTGGCGAGCTGCTAATACCTTAGGAATGAATAGTAAGGAGTAATCCTGTTTTAGTTAGCTTGAGAAAGAGAATATGGGGGCTCTGCATCTCTAAATATTAACATGCAGTATGTCCCTTGCAGACTAACACCTATCTACTAAACCCTCTCTCTCATCCTCTCCCTTTGCTAATATTTGGTCCTCTTCTGAAAATGGCTTGCACTTGCCATTTAGCTCCCTGCTAGTGATCTAATTTGGCCTGCAACCCAAAGGCCCTTAAACCCAGCAAATGGGCCTCCCCACATGGGAGCAGAGTTGCAACTTGGAATAGAAGGAATGAAACATCAAGGAAAAGGCATGGGGGAGGAGACGTTTCCTCTGGGCTAGAGGGAAAAACCTCCTCGGAAGCCGCAAAGCCCTGACTGTTTAGCCATGTGGAGCATTTTAATTAAACTCAGAAACATCTCTTTCCCTGAAGCACCTTGGGGAGATGGGTGGGATGCAGAAGTGGTTCAGGAACTCCACAGCGCGATGTCATGCTGGCACTTGCTCAGGAGATAAATCACCAAGATTACCGGGACCTTGAAAGGCGCATGTGTATCTGCTCTTCTGTATTGCCCTCCGCTTAATTAAAATGCTTTTCCGTAATGAAATAATGTTATCGCAGATGCAGGGAGGAGAAATGAAGGAAACTCGTTTAAACTCATTAAATGGAGGCAGCGTTACCTGGATAGAACAGTGCTCTGGGGGCAGGGGAGTGCCACTCTCCCCCCAACCCCACCCTTATAGTAAAGCAAGTGGGATGTGGGATGGCTTCCCATAGGGCAGAAAGGAAAGTGAAGCAGAACTTCATCTAGGATAAATTAATGCAAGGGATTAGAAGTGCATGGAGCCTGTTCGTGGGAGAGCCCTGTGATAAGCAGATTGGAACATACCAATGCACCTGCTTGCATCTCTGGCATACAGTAGTGGTTGAGAGCCTGAGCTATAAATTAGGAAGTCCCTGGTTTGAATCTCACCCCTAGGTGGCCTTAGGCAAACCAGTCACAGCCTCAGTTTTTCTGCTTCCCCTATTTACAGTATGGGAGATATCAATACTGGCTTATCCTACAAGTTTATTGTAAGGGTTACCGCTGGAAAACGTATGTGAAGTGCTCTGAACACTAGCAAGTGCCATACAAATGCTTATTATTGTTATCAGGCCGTTAAGTGTTCTGAATAGGTTTTTAGTTTAGTTTATTGTGTTAGCTAAAGGCCTTAATAACCAGCATAGAATTCAGCTGCTATATGCGGATGAAACAGATATCTCATAACAGTGCTGTCCAAATAAAAACAATGTCCATTTTAACTAATTCAGTTTGGACCAGAGAAATCAGTATTTCAAGTCATTGGGGGGGGCAGGGGAAAGAATATAAATAGTGATAAAAGTTAAAGAATAATGTGCTTTTTAAAAAGACTTGGTTTATGAAGAAAAGGGAACCTAAGCCTTTCAATTACCTGAGGCCAGAAGAGCAAAGCTGCCGCTTTTCCAACAATTTAATTGCAGTAATATGCAGATCTCATAACTAGATAATAGCTTTCTGACAGCAGAGAGAACTTTTTCTGATGCCATTGATATGTTATACTTTTTCACCCCACCACCAAGAATAATTTTCATAGTGGAAAAAGTAATGTGTAAAATAACCTTCAGAAGCCCAGTTTTTATTATTCAGATATGTTTTGAGACATTGAAGTACAATAGCGAACCGCTATTATACTGCCCTGCAACTAAACAAGATGTTTCTTTGTAGTGTTAGAGCCTGCTTCAAGCACCAGAATACGATATAGAAATAAGAAGCTAAATTGCATGAGAGAGATGCTTACAGCAGGGATCACCAATGCAGTGCCTGTGAATGAGCCTGCAGAGGCCTTCCCTGGCGTCAAGCAGATCCTCCCACCCACCCCAGCTGAAGTTCAGCTTGAAAGAAGCATTCTGTTGTGGCCAATAGAATAGGTTGCGCCTTTGTCTCATTTTTTTAATGTAATCATAGACCCGAACAAAATAAAAGCAATGACCATAAAATAAAATGGGTTGTGATGCATATATAGATATATGATACAATATGTCAGGAATATTAAAACGTGGAAATTGAAAGCAAGTCAAAAGGAATGTTATAAATAACGTAACATAACCAAATTAAAAACTGTAACAGCAGCTGTACAGGATAGGTTTAATCAGGGGAGATTCTGCTGGCAGAAGGAGAAAACTAGTCATAATCTCTGTGGCTGGAAATCTTGAGAGGATCTTGAGAAAATAGGAGTAACCAATCTAATTTGGTCATTAGAAGAGGCTGCTGCAGCTGTTGTGTGGCACCCAGAAACGTTTGCAAAAAATAGGTAGCAAAGGAGCAAAGAGAGAACTTGGGGTGTTGAAGCACACGTTACTGCTCATAACCTAAAACCACAACAGTGTAATGGATGCTGCCTTCTGCTTCCCCACAGCTGCTCACGGAAGGACCGATGTGAAAGAGCTGATGAACCTCAGCGCTTTGCTTCAGATCTACGCCAGTGCGTCCAGCTCACCATCCAGCCCAAGAACATATCGGTCACCATGTCAGAAGTCCCGGTAGGTGGCTTAGCTTCACTTTGGTTGGCCTTTCTTAATACCAGTACATTTCTTTAGGATGTTGAGTCCGTCTGGAACATTCTGGGCTTGGGAGAAGGTGCACTATGTGGTATTTGTTCTTAGATCTTTTGTCTTAATGAACCATGGAACAGGTGTTCGCTTGTTTTCTGTGTGTGACGTTCTCCTTCCTGTTCTCTCAGCTGGTTCTGCAGGCCCGGAATGTCCCTGATCTCTCTGCTGGCGTGAACTGCTCATTTGAAGATTTTACGGAGTCTGAAAGTCGCATTGAAGATGGCAAGATCTACTGTAGTTCTCCTTCTGCAAAAGATGTCATCCCTATTACCAGAGGGCGAGGTGAGTTTGGGGTTTCTTGTCAGCTTGCACCAGTGGAGTCCAGAGCAAAAGTTCTGAGGGGTAGGATATTTGATTACATACTTCAGAGAACATGAGTTTTCAAAAAACAAAACAAAAACAACCCCATTTGAGTAACACAATAGCTGAGCTAATATCTCTCAGTTTATTTATTGCCATGATGTAAGATGCTATGGATTATCCAGGTTATTTTTAAACCTGTTTGCTGCTGTGGGAAGGCTCTTTCTACTGTGCTTGTGTATGTGATTTTGAGGGTATTCATATCCTATAATGCTGAGGGGGAATTGTAAGTTGTAGGCACCTTGGGGTGCACTTCCCCCTCCATTGGTATTTGTAGAGTGAAAATAGACATTAACTTCCCTTGAAGGAGCTGAAGTGGCACAGAGGAGGAGCCAACCGCATCCTCTGCAGTGCGGTTGAATCTGGTATAAAGGCTTTCACTCTGGACAGCCAGGAACGTGAACTATGCAAAAGTATTTTTCTCTTTCTGTCTCCGCATGGAAGGCAGGCAGTCTAGACCTTTGTGCCATGGTAGGCTGTCCTTTGCTCAGTTCAGATAGCATGTCATATTTGAGGCACAGAGGAGTTCAAAATACCAATATCTATACCTTCTGTGAGAAGGATCAACATATTTGTGAGCAGGAGAGCAGAGACTGAGGCAGAGAATTTGAAGAAAGGAGAAGACAGGGAGAAAGAAGGCAAATGACTGAAATGGGTGCATTTACAGAGTGGTAGGGAATATATTGTTACTATTCTATTTAGTAAGGAATGTATGTGCTACCCTTGGCCAAGGTGATTTACATGTCCTCACCACGGTTCGAAACTCCCACTGTTCTAGGCACATTTTGCGACAGGGAATTTCATTAGCGCAAGCAGTTTCTGAGCTCTGGGCGCAGTACTATGCCTAAGATTTCAGATTAAAACTGCAGAGTGGAAGGAGAGGAGGACCTTTTTCTACCTCACCACTTCCAGCTGCTCTCTGAAGACTGGAGAAGAGACCCTCTTAAGAATATTAGGGGGACGGGCAAGGGAAAGACTAGACCGTGTGAGAAATGAACATAATATTTTAGCTACAGTTCATTCATTTTCAGCTTTGTATTCTTGTTACAAAAAGCGTGCCTAGACATTCCGTTGTTGTGCCCATATCCTAGGTTTAAGGTGCTATTTAGCTCCTAGCTTTCATATCTCAGTTTCTAATACTGGTTCTCACTGTAACTGTGGATAGCAACATGAGACTGGTCCAGTGGTTTGCTTGGGCTGATTGCTGAGTAAGGCATAATTGTTACATACCTCCTAGATTCCTGGCCTCAATACGATCAATAACCCACTGGTTTCCCAATAATTCCACAAGAGGCTCCTAAATTTGACAAAGTCCTTACCTGTGGAGGTAGTAGAAAGCCAAATGTTAACTCTGAACTAGGCAGTTGGAGGCCCCTGGTACTCTTCTTCCACCTGTCATTTTACTTACATGCTGAGCAGGATCACCTATCCTCTGCATCCTGCTAGATTTTTAGTGCAGGTCACTCACACTTCTCTTCAACATCAATAAACTAGTGGTTTTGTCCGCTAACTAGGATTCATTGGAACTGCCCCTCAGCCCAAACAAAGTCACTGCAAGCCTCACTCATTTGCGTGCTGCCAAACCCTGCACTCTGTTTTCCCAGATGCCCATGCTGCTATTTCTCTCTTTAATATCTGATCTATTTTCTGCCTGTTTTCTGTTCTAGGCGACAAGCGAGTGGTAAAGCTCTACCTCAAATCCAAGGAGACTGGGAAGAAGTTTGCAGCTGTGGATTTTGTCTTTTACAACTGCAGTGTTCACCAATCGTAAGTGATATAAAACAACTTCCCCTCCTCTGGTTTTTGAGCTTATTCTGGGGGAAAGCTGCAAATAGCATGTGGCAGACATAATAAGAGAAAGGCAGATGTGTGCAGTGTAAAATCTTGTTAAATACAGAGGGGGGTATTTGGGGGTTGCCACACTTATTGTAAGGAAAGCCAAGCCACCTTGCCTTGCTGTTAAAGTTTGCTTTGGGCAAGAAGCTGTTTGGGCATCAGAAACCACATCAAGCTGAGAGGATTATCCTTTTCTTTTGTCTTTGTGAAAAGAAACTGCACTGTGTTCATTGACTACTGGTGTAAGAAATGGTTTAGTCAGGAGCATCTGAGTAAACAGGTTTAGCACAATTGCTGGACCTCAATGACTGTGTGTGTGTGTGTGTGTGTTTTGCTCTGCTTGCCAATTGGAAGTGTAATTTCGCCTGCAGAACCCTATTTATGAATTCTTACCCATGAGGAGAACTTGGGTATCTCCAGTTGAAAGGATCAAATAACAGTTGGAGTGAAAGACTTCTTCCAGGGACCTTAGAGACCCCCTGCCTCTCAGATTAGACATTACTGGGATAGATGAGCAAAGTGTCTGGCCTGCTAGAAAGCAGCTTCCTATGTTTCCTGTGTAGGTGTGAATTGATGATTGGTAGCACAGTTTGATCTGACTGCATCTGCTAGATGCCTAACCTCATGTATAGCTTTAATACAGCCCATCAGCGCCCAGCAGGTTCTAATTTAGAACCTCATTTTCATATAAGCTGTACTGTAAAATAATAGCCAGTTTCTCATATTGAAAACTATAAAAACTAAATCTGTGATCTCCCAATGTTTATGCTTTACAGCAATCTATAGAAGTGAGCGACCTCCGTGGCATCAAGTGCTTCTGTGACAGAAAGCTAAATAGGGCAAAACTGTCTGTGCTACCCAGAAGGGAGGGTTTGCATGCTGGGGATGCTGGATCCCAGGCTGCAATGGTGAAATGGAAATTCCTGGTTGCCAAAGGCATTTGTTAAGAGTTTCTCCAAATGAAATAAACAAGGCCTTACTTTTGGCATCTGCTTTCATTGTGCCTTTGCATGCTATGGGTGCCATATCTCATCCGTAATGGGGTTGTGGTATGATCTCTGAAAAGGAGGATTTTCTGTGCCCAAGTAACCAGTCTGAACACTTCTACCGAACACTGCTAGAGTTCACTCATTTGGTTTTTGTTGCCTGTTTGTAGCTTTCATAGCCCCAGCCCTGTCCTACAGCCTCTAGGGCAGTGGACGGTATGGCTATACTGAAGCCACACCATGTCAAAGTAGACAAGCCAGTCTGGGAACAGCCAGCTGGAAAGATTAGGTTGATGGTTCATTATTTCCCCTTAAATAAAATATTTAGAAAAATGCATGAAAGATGGGTTTCTGTTTTGGAGAATCATCCTGACCAGGGGTAGGCAACCTAAGGCTCATGGGCCAGATGCGGCCCATCGCCTTCTCAATCTGGCCCACGGACGGTCCGGGAATCAGTGTGTTTTTACATGAGTAGAATGTGTCCTTTTATTTAAAATGCATCTCTGGGTTATTTCTGGGGCCTAGGAATTCGTTCATCCCCCACCCCCCCAAAAAATAGTCCAGCCCCCCACATGGTCTGAGGGACGGTGGACTGGCCCACGGCTGAAAAAGGTTGCTGACCCCTGCCCTAAACCATGTATGAGATGGCCCTCCTTGTTCCCAACCAGGGGTGGGTTGGGCTGACTGTGGGTGCTGGCGCATGCTGATGACTTCACGCACAGGCATCGTGTGCTTACCAGCTAGCCCAGTAACTGGCTGGGGGTGAGGGGTGTGCCCATTTAAATCCCACACAGAGAATGCACAAGTAGGGGAAAGAGTGTGAAAGAGGAGAGGAAAAGAGAGGATGAGAGAGTGGGGGGTAGCAATATTGTGTATTCAGGCTGTTTCTCGAATATAGGCCATCCAGGGAGATAACCAGAGGGGCAATAAATACAATCTTAACCACTTAGGTGTTTTGGTATTGCTTTTTTGTTTTCCAGATAGGCGTGCATGTTAAGTACAGATTAAGGTGGTTTTGATGTGCCCCTCCCCAGGGAGCATATGTTAAAGAGCTAAAACATTCTATACTTTAAATGTGGCTTTGTAGGCTTGCTAAATTACTTGACTGACCCTTGGGCTGTGTTCAAATGTAGTGATTTGGAGAAAATGGCACCACAGGTGTAATGGGCAGAACTAGTGAACCATGTGTGGCTATCCTCCATCACACCCAGGTTTCCTATCCCTGATTATAGTATTATGAGAATTACATCTCAGTGAGCTTTGTGCTTATGTGTTCTCCCATTCTCTGGTGCGACTGTGAGGATGAGATGGGAATTTTCTTATGCTTTCTTGACAGTTTAGTTATTGCACAAATTCTAAACTGTGGTTTATTTTATCTATGGTTAGTTGAAATAAGTCAGCCTCATAAACTGTGGTTTGAAGTTGGCTTGTTTCAGCAAACCATAGTTATATTTAACCACAGTTTGTCTGGTTGCTGGTGACACAAGCAGCAGTTAGTTGTAAAAAAATTGAAGCAAAGGCTTCCAGGCTCCAGAGAAGGGGGGTAGTGCAGGAGTCCGGGGTTTGCTGAGGCTTGTTATGATTTAGCATTACATTGGAATTTAATGTTGAAGTTCAGATTACTGAGTAACCTATAATTCTAGTCATACAGTTACAGTGCGATAGGTTGGGAAGATTAATGGGCAGGAGAAAATAATAATCAAACAATTAGAAGGGGTAGCCTGAAGCTATTCTGCATAAAATGGCTTCAAAGGCAGCTCTTCACACAAGATGAATTCTTTAAACTTTAAAAAGGAAGGAGCAGCCAGGAGACGGAAGAATCCCAAAAGGTGCCAAGATACCAGAAGTGAAACCTGCTATTTCAATATTGAGGCCTGCTGGTGAAATGTCTGTCAGGAAAGGCGGGGGGGGGGGGGGAGAGAGCCTGCGGGGGCCTGCCTAGACTTGTCTGCTGGGAAGATGCTCTTATCCAGGAGCATGCTCTAGTCTAGGGTATAAAAGATGGACAGCAGGTTGGAGCAGTCAGGACTCTGATCCGGGCAACAGAGTCTGTAATATGCACAAAGGAAAGTCCCATCAAGGCCCTTTCTGACACGGAGGAGATGCCAAGTCTGCTGCTGGGAAATTATTCCCACCTGCCGTTCCTTCAGAGAGCAGATTGTGGCACCTGGGGGATGGGGGGAAGAGAGGAGGCGAGGATTCTCTTGAGCTAGATTTTCTGCCTTACCAAGGTTTTTTACCTTGGTTTTCTTCGAGGGAGAGATTTCTTACTCAGTCTTTCATGTTTGTTCGATCTTGACAGTTGGATAAGTTTTGGCACAGGCAGGGTTCCAGTTCAATTTGGTGTTCAGGTTCACGTCTGACCTGTTAAATCTGAAGCTCTCTTTCACCCACATTGGCTAAAATGCAGGATCTAAACAGAAGTCATAATCTTTCCTTTCCTTTTCACATAAGTTGGTGAAATTTGCAGGAAAATGGAGCCTTTCTAGGGTGGGTTAAGCCTGCCAAATTTCAGGGAGATCCAGCCAGTGTTTTGTGTGTTTGCTTTCTGGGAACCTTTAAAGAGCTTTTTTCTTAAAAATGGAAAGGTCTCTAACTTCTGTATTTTCTGCCAGAACTGGATTCAATTTGTTGTCATAGCTGCCCCTTCTGAGGGAATGATGTGTGCCAAATTTCAGAAAAATAGGCACAGTGGTTCTCCTACAAGGGCTGACTGTTTTGAGGTGGGGATATAGAAATCACATTCCCTTCCCTAATTTTGTTGCTGGACAGTCAGGGGGACATATGAGAGAAGTTTCCCTTGGTAAAAAAAAACAAAAACTTGCCAGAGTTCAGACAAATAAAGGTTATTGTGCAGCTAGGTGATTTTACCTCCTTTTTTTTTTTTTAGAAACTGAAAAAATCACCTCACAATTCGAGGTACACTCAGAGCCAATACATATGCCTGGTATATACCACTGTTTGGCACAAATACCAAATAAAAAAGTAAATGAGGTTTTAAAAAACCAAAAGTTGTCTCTTTAAACTAGAACATTGCAGGCTAAGCATGATGAGACATTCTTTTTTAAATGTAATGTATGCAGAACATAAAAAGCAGAATAACCTGCAGTTAAGCAGGAACTGAGGCTGATTTATAGCCAGGTTGAATTTTAATTTTAGATGAATTATTTTAAAAAGCAAATTATGGTTGTATTAATATTTATAAAATCATTTTAGAGCTATTGATGACAGTGGTTGTTTATAATCGGGTTTTTTGCTTTGTTTCCTTCTTGCCTTGCTGTCTTTGGGGTTTAAAGGTCTTCACAAAGACCAGTCATGGAAAAAAGAAATATTAGTCACCATGTACTAGATGCAACCAGTTAGCAATCCAATTGGAACTGCACTTGCCTGCAAATAATTCCCCATGCCTGTTGCTAAGTGAATTGCTTAAGCAAAACTCTTCCTGTGTCTTTCCAAGCACAGTTGCCTACTAATGCCAGTAGTGTCTTTTTGTAACATTTTCTAAAAACCCAAACAAGATGCTCTGTTTCTTTAGCCTTAACTTCTCCCCCCCTAAACTATGTTAATCTTGGCTAGGCTTCTAAACTATGCACACGTACTAGCCTGTTTTCCAAGCTGAGGAATGTAGGGTCTGGCCTCATCTCTAAAAGGAGGCTTGTGGAGGAAAATCAGATTCTAAGTGATATTATGCCTCACATTTTCAGCGATCAATTCATTATCTGTCAGGCAATAACTAGTGCTATACATACAAAGTGGGGAACGTAAGCAGAACTGTGGTTAACTGGGCCAAAGGTCATCCAGTCCATCGTTGTGCTTCAAACAGCGGCCATCCAGATGTATCTGAGTGCTTGCTAATGTAGCATCAAGGCAACAGCACTCTTCTGTTGCTTGTCCTCAGCAGGCATAACAGTCGCCATGGTTGATAACCATTAAAAGACTTACCCT